TTAACTCTTTTTTAGCTGTTTACGGACATTTCCAGTTTTCAATTAATTTAGTTTTTTTAACTATAAATATCAATAAAATTTTATCTGTTGGTACAAATTTAATACAAGCTTCTGATATATTGTTACACTATCAGTTGAAAAATATTAAAAATACATATTCACAATTTTTTTTTATATGTTTTTAAAGTTCGAATTTTGACAACATTTATCAAAATCTTGAAAATTATCAATCATTGTAATTAATAAATTATAAAATGTTCAGTTTTTATAGCTAAGGATTGCAAATTTAAAACAAAGATTCTCATAAATAGTCCATACTGTAATCAAAAAATCTAAAAAATATATGAACACAGTTATTTTTTACAGACATTTTAAATTCAAATTTGGACGAAATTACATATTAAAATCAATATTAACTATCTTGGTTTTTTTTTGTAATTTAAAAATATTATTCGGGGATATATGATACCCAATGGATATTGTGATATGATTAATTTGGAATTTATTATACGTATCTATTATAGGTCAATTTTTTTTTTAATACCATCGATAAGCATATATGTTTTATACCTAGACTGACATACCGTCTCCACTCAGAATCGTTTTTCTTATAAAATGATATTATATCATTGAATTCAAATTTAATACCATCTATTATACAGTCACCCACTTGTAACCTACAGTACAGCAGAGCGACATCACACTTACACACACCACTTGCACACTAGTACTCACAGGTCTTGCTCGGCGAACCTGTCCAATTTCTGTCGAGTACTACAACATATATACACACAAAAAACACAGGTCGGTCGGTGTGATAGATTTCAATATATTAGGTATAGGCGTAGCGGAGTGCGCATTCTATTGTGGTAACGTTCCCGGCCATATGGTCACACATCATTATAATATATAAACTAAAATCTTACAGAATAATAAATAACATCTAGACTGTCGTTTTTAGAAATCGGTTACATCCAATAAAACCATTAACAACGACAAAAAAAAAGGGACGACCCTTACGATATTTCTACGGATTAGGATAACGGTAAAACGTAGGGTGTGTGTCATTATTATATGATGAAAGGAAAGGCAAAAATGGGTATCTGCGATAAAGAATAATCTGGTTCCGAAGGTCACAATAACCTTTTGATAAAGCACCCTACCACTCTCTGGTGAGCATCTTCGAGTCGTCCCTTAAATCAGTGAATGAGCACCAGTCACCGAGTAACAACTTCTCGAAATCTCAAAACCGATTTTAACGAACGACAATATGCCTTAGTAGGACCATTCTAGGACTATTGAGTGACTAATAATCAGTGTTTATATTATTTCGATTTTTGTGTTTTGAAGTATTACTCTATGTCAACTGAAACCTAAAACGTCCACAAGATAATCTACAAACAACTGCGAATCAGGTAAAGCAATTAATATAATATTATATATAGTTTGTATTAAATCATACGTGCTCTTTTTACATACAATGGTACGGTGTATTTGATTTAATTTTCGAATACACGATCTCGAAAGCCCTCCGAACATCTGGAGGGAGGCAATAGCTTAATTTAACTATTTTAATATAACTATCGAGTGTCGACAGGAGTCGTTTTTATATTTTTCGTATTATTAAGTCATTACAGATAGTTATGCCGTGAATATACGTAAACACAGTACAAATATGATATTGTAGTAGATTAAAAATAAGCAGTAAATTCATAGGGGAAAGGAAAGAGGTAATAGTAAATATTAAAAATAGTTAGAATTATATATTAAATGTAGAGTGGTATATTATGGGTATATGTCATCGGTGTTCTATCATCTTTAGTGTAAAGGATATACCTTAATTATTCCACTACTCTATTATATTTCGTATCTTGTAATAACGTATATATAAAAATGTATTCTGAAATATTATAATTAATTTACCTGAGTATGTATTCGTATTCGTGAATAAAGGGTTGAGTTCGATGCTCGAAGTCACTGCGGTGTATATATATATATATACATACATATATATATATATATATATATGTATATTACGTGTCTTGATTTGTATATTTAATACTTAGTATATTAAGAGATATTTTTGTTGAGTTCTACGTATAATATTGATGTGATTCGAACACTAATATTATATGAATTTGTTATCTATGACTGTTATCGTATGCTTTCAAAATCCATACATTCGTAGCAAGAGTACATAATATAGTCAATTCACCAACCTGATGTAATTCATGTTAATGACCACTTATTATTATATTTATATTCTTAATAGATGATTGCATAACTGTGTAATAATACTATAACTGGCCAATGATACGACGATAGTCACAGAATCTTATATTATTGCAAAGAACAAATAGATAGGTGAATAAATAATTAACAAGGCGAATTTGTTCGATAAAACAAAATAATTAATTTAGACAGTCATACCGAATGCTGGAGTAACTCAATATACACGATGGCTAAGAGGCCAAAAGTTGTACGTCCAATTTTTCTCAAAATCGTTTTATTAGTCCATAGAGTTTATCTGGGCCGTCTTTTAGATTCGGTAAAACATTATAAGTCAATATCATAATTAAAACATGTTTTATTTATACTTTAATTTTTGTGTTTTTAGTGCAAGATAGGTTTTTTTAGTGCACATATATAATAAGTCCTAGTATGAGACATACTATAAATATTTTAACATGATCTAAATATTAAGCGGCCAAATATAACAAGTCCGGACTTGTTACTTTTGTCAAAAACAATTCATCTATTTATAAAAAGTGAATATGTCAGGATGTATTATTTTAAATAATACAAATTTTTAGTATTAAATTACACAAAATAATATATCTTCAATTAGCATAAAATATCATTAAACACGGGTTTATTGGACTAAAAATTTTATGAAAAATGCTACTTTATTATTTTTCACATGTAATAAAAAATTCCAATATTTTTTATATATTTTACTTTTTTACAGTATTTATATAAACAAATTGATTTTTTTATATCAAAAAAAATACTCTTGCATACATTTTCACTATTTATATAGTAAATTAATTAGAGTTTATATTAAATTAACAACTTTTAATAATTCCACGGTAAAAATATATGATAATTGCCATTCATAGCTAATCCCATTTAAATTTAAAAGAAACATTATAATTAGGTTGGAAAAAAATGTTAAGACCTAAAAGTAATAATTTATGTAATCTACAGAATATTTTACAAATAAATCAGTTGCAACACCGAAAAACAAAAATCTAGAACACAAATTATTTTGTATAGAATAATTAAAAATCTTAAAACGGCTCTCATGTAAAATTTAGTGTTTGGGACCTACATTCTTTTCATATTAGTAGTATTAAAGTATTGATGTGTTTATGATCTTATTTTATTTTATGTGTTGCATGTGTCGGTGTGTGTGTATTAGTAATGCGTATAGATATATTATGCCTAATGCGTATGTATATGTAGTATGTACACTGAATCACCCCATACTCCATACATACCGTCGCTATTAGTTATTCTGTGCTTTTATTTAAGTATAGAAAAATAATATATTACAATATTGTCGTTTTATTTGCATAATATTATGGTGTAATACATAGATAATAATATTTCTGATGTGAATTTTTTTTTCTCTTTCCACTTGTTGTTCTCGTACTTACGTGCCGGTGATAGGTACTATAGTTCAATAATATATTAATTTTGCACGAACCAAATACTGCCTGCTTTTTTCAGATATTAATCCACCTAATATATTGGTCACCGGTTGTTTTTAACGACTTGTAAACTCTCCTGGTGTTAAATTCTTCCATTTCTACTCAAGTACTACCTAATGGGTATACACGTGAACTGCATCAAATTTGCACCAATTTCGTTTATATAGATTATATTATACGTTATAATCATACTCGGACAAATGATTGGCACGATTGTACTGACTGTCAGTTTTATTGTGTATTTACTGAAAACGTTCAAAATCGAATTTCCATTCAATTCATTGCTTTGTCATAATTAAGATAAGATAATTAATTCAGTACCTACGTCATAAATGAGATAAGATAAATAATCCAGTAACAACGTGAATGCGCGTAGGTATAGCCACATAAATATTTTAATAATACGGGCAGGTAGAGACTGATATAACTGATATAACTGATGATAATTGCCATTTACCTAAGTTTTTTTTTCTAGAATTTAGAATTATTTGTTATTGACGGTCGTATTATTATGTTGTAACTTCAATTAATATTCGGGGCCCCCATTTGGTTGGGGGCCCTGGTCAAGTGCCTCACGTGATCATAGTGTAAAGACGGAATAGGTGTTAAATTTATAATTTGAATTTTATGTTCATAACAATTAACAATTTGAACATACAAATTTAAAAAAAAATTTGAATACACAGTTTTAAAATATTCAAATATTTAAATTATAGTAAATAATAGAAATTAATTACAAATTAAAGATATAAAATGCAACAAAGATACACTAATATGTATATAAATCAATACTTTAAGTCACTCTCAATAAGAAAATTTGATAGAAAACAATTTTGTAAGTCTAATAGTTGCTTAAAAAATTAAAGAGATTGGAATTTGAACTCAAAAAGAGTAGGGATGGTACAAGTTAAAAAAAAAATTGTTTTGCTCCAGCGAACATTGTTTGATATTATTATGTCCTTTATGCAGTAAAAAAAAAACCCAAATTAAATTCAAATGACGTGTCTTGTGTTTGACATATTTCGTGTTTGCCTCTATCCTTGACCAGTATACCGTTATAATATTGATGACCATCTATCATTATAATTTATAACCGTTCCAAATGATTGTGCAAACACGCGTGACAAATTCAAAGCGATATTCACATTCAGCGTTTATTTGAAATGATTATATATTAGTAATTAGATATTGTCGTGCCGCAAAGCCGATGAGACTTGACGTTCAATTACCTATTGTTTGCATTTCGATAATGTCTATCGGGATAAGGGACCCACGACCCTCGGCATAATGGATTGGCAAATTGGATTATGTTATCACCGAGTCCTGCCAGCCAGCATTTCGGTGATTCGATTATTAAACCCTATGTCACGAACATCGTCGGCCGCCATTTGCGATGAAAACGATTTAACGAGAAACCTGCGGCAATGTCTACGTCTGTTTGCATTAGGCGGATTATTCCCAAATGAAAAAACTGCTCGAGTAAGCTCGGTCCGATCCAATTTGTTTCAGTTTGATATAATACAATATTATTTTATAAATTGGTGGCGGTTCCTAAAACTTTTACGACCACCTTAGCAAAAAGTTTCGTGGAACCCCGATGTCTGTAAAACGAATATTTTATAACGATATATCATACTATAGTATAGGTACCTACTAAAAATTATTTAGGTGAATTTATTTCTCCAAGTAAAATATGAAATAATTTTATCAATATTCGCACATGGGGATAAAGATACCTGAAAATTTCTGGAAAATTTCTGAAGATCGGTTTTTTCCCAGAACCTTGGAAAATATGGAAAAATTGGAGAATATTTAAATCATTCATATCTGAAAAAGGCATTTTTGGAAAATTAAAAAATTATGATTACACTTAAAAATTAAAAAAATCTAAGTAACAAAAAAAGTTGCTCTGCTGTACAATAGGGTTCAAGTTTGTCACTGTATAATGGATGGTATTAAATTTGAATTTGATGATATAATATCCTTGTATAAGAAAAACAATTCTGACCAAAGACGGTCAGTCAGCCTATGATATTACTAAGTATATTTGATGATATTATGGTGAATAAAATAATTTATATATACCCTATTTACGTGGAACCTTGTTTTAAATTTTCAATCCTTAGCTATAAAAGTTGAACATTTTATAAGTTTTTAACTACAAAATAATTATTACATTTTAAATTTGATAAATGTTGCCAAAATTCGAACTATAAATTCTTATAAAAAAAATTGTGACTGTGTATTTTTAATATTTTTCAACTGCTATTGCAACAATATATCAAGAGAATTGCATTCAGTTTTTACGATTTTTTAACTAACAAATACATTTTTATTCATATTTATAGAAAAAATAAACTAAAAAAATTTAAAACTGACAATGTCTGTAAAGTTTACAGTGTAAACAGCTCAAAAAGAGTCAAATTATTTTCAAAATGTAATCGTGTATAGAAAATGCTAATATAAACATTCAGTTATACTTTCAAGTATCAACAGTCATTAGTTTTTTAATTACAACAGAATAAGAAAACCGTTACATAAGAAATCGAGTGAATCGAGTGAATCAAATGTTGTAAAAATTTGAAATTTAAACTCTCATAAAAATTTAATTTGATTTGCTTGTAGACATTTTTTTTTATGATGAAGATAGACAAACTTATGAATAATCTTGTATTACATTTTTAAATCAGATTTAAAAAAAAAAAATTTATGAATTTCCAACTCAAAATAATTTGCAAATTTTCGTAATTTTTACGTATTTTGTCAATATTTGAACTTTAAATGCTTAGAAAAAATAAATTGTGACTATGGGGCTTTAATTTTTTTCACCTGCCTTTGATAGCTTTCTATTAAATTTTCAAGTTTTTTTAACCAACAAATAAAATTGTATTGATATTTATAGAAAAAAAAAACTAAAAAAAATTGAAACTGAAAATGTCCGTAAACAGCTCATAGTAATTTTAATATGTTATGGTGTATAGAAAATGCTAATATAAACATTCAGTCAAAATTGCATGTACTGACGGTTATTTGTTTAAGAGTTGCACCGAAAACAAAAATCAATTCTTTCTAAAACAGATTATGTGTAAAAATTCCAATTTTTCCTTAATTTTTTTCTTGTTTTTCACAGCGCTTTTGAAAACTACTGCAAAAATTTTACTTTTGACCCCCCCCTAAGTACCAACTAGATTCACTTGCCTTTCAGAAAAGATACTGCTGAAGATATCTTTACATTTTTACTGTCCTAAAAGGTGATGACAGACACAAAAATAAAAAAAAAACACACATCTTTGTAAAATCAATACATATCGTTCCACAGAATCTAAAAGACGCGTGAGACGTAATTTGGCCCGGTTCATCGTAATTGCTTATCTTACACTTAAAGTTCTTCGTTTCATACAACGATTTACCAACCTAAACATTTTATTTATGAAATTTATCTTACATATAAATATGTGGTTTTATGTCTTTAAGACGATACCTACATGTATCGAAAATTCAATATAATGTTAAATTTTTTTTAATATTAAAAAAAAAAACACACATCATTGTTAAAATCAAATCAATACATTCATCTTTTCACTCAGAATCTAAAATAGATAAGGAAACCTTTAATCATTATTTTACATTTGCCAACAAGGTTGTCAGTGAATCATTGTATTAAAATTAAAAATTAAACTATTAAAAATATTAATACGGATATTTCAATATTTGTTCTAAAAATAACTTAGGTAGTTACATATCAAAGAGGTATTTATGTGGGAGACTGTATACCCCCGAAAATAAATAACTTGTGTTTTTAAATATTATATAATTAATAATACTTGTATGTTGTAGACAAATATAGACAGCGCACGATTTAGAAATGAGTAATGACAATATTAATTATAAGGAAAATACGTAAAAACAAAACATCATTATCGGGATACGATAATATTTTATAAAAAAATAAAAAACATTTTTTCCGGAAATTTTGATCTGTATTCACACATATCTGGCGGAACCTTTTGACTGTCCAACGGAACACACTTTGAGAATTGCTGATATAAATAATTAAAACCTTCCAAACCTATTGTCACGTGGTGGATAAAATAAATACAAAATACCCCCCCCCCCCGGCCCCGTTTGGAATATATGAAACTGTATATTATTATTATTTAATTAGTTGGCACATACAACAGTAGGTATAATATTCTGCGGCAGAAGAGTTGGGTCTGTGTATACGATAATATTATAATTTATAGGGTTCTGAATTTGAAATGTTTCACTTGAAATTTTTGAATTTGAAATTATTCACATATAATGTTTGAATTAGAATAATAATTGAAAATTGAAAATTTCACTCTCCTTGATCAATGATGAATGACTTTTCGGTTTATTTTATTTTTAAGGTATACGAATTACTAGTGTTGTTAAGTTTAGGTATAATATGAATCTTAATACATTATCGGTTAATTTATCACTTAAAAGTTGGGTGTCACTTGGCTATAACTGTTACTATAAATCAATTTTGAAAACACTCTGTTGTTGTAAGTTTATGACTATTTATACATTTTTAGATATAATATACAAATTATTTTTTTTTTTTCCCATAAAATGCTCATAAATAAAATAAATATCATGATGAAATTTTGAAACCCTAAAAATATAGCCATAAATTTATATTGGCATTTAGAGTATTTATTTGCTCAGAGCATCGCAAACACAGTCCGCCATGATTTTACTCAACAGTTGGAAGTACTGCGTTTAGGGGTGGATTGTGCTTGCTCTTAAATACCACATTTGCTCCTATTTGTACAGAAAACGTTGATTGCGTTTAATAAAGTCAAACAACTATAAAATACTTGTTTGCTCCCAGTGACTAAATAATTATTACTTTTGGCAACATTGCAGTAAAACTTAAATGTCTCCTCGTCCCCCAATTTCAAACGTTGAACTTATATCTACAATATATTATTACATTTATTCTGGTGCGGTTTTAATATAAAAGTTATAGAAAGCAATAAACGGTTTGCTATTAGAACATGAGTAAGTAAATTTGAGTTGTTTGAAAAATGAAAAATAAATTTCAAGTTTTTTAAATTTTATAGAAAAGTAAAGACATACTTTATGTTAAGAAACACGCTTTTAAGTACCTACTTAAAATATTAAATAAATTACCTAGGTATGCTATCTATATTAATGATAATTATATGGTTTTTTTAATTTGAATTTATTTTTTTTTGTTTAAATGTCTCTTATGTTTGAAGTCAACCTTTCTAATTATAACAATGGGTTTCAAGAAAAACTTTAATATACTTAACCCGATTTTGCAGGTCACTCCGGACAAAATTCAAGTTCTAAAAAAAATGTAATCTTTAGTGAGTATAATAATCATTCTTCGGCTATGTGCTCATTCGATGTCAGCATACCTAAATTGCAAAAAAGTATAAAGTGGGTTTGTAAGGAATTTTAAAATATGGTCCTCAAGGATATTAAAAGCTTCCTAAAATAAGAATTCGAATTAATTAACTGTTAGACTAAAAAATGGTTGTGAGCATGCTTTGTATATCACCATGTATAGTGTATTTGCATCAAATATAAAAAAAATATTATTAACAAAATGGAAAATCCAATTTTCGAGAGACGAGAGTAGGTTATCAAAAAACTTATTACATTTTGGGAAAAAATGAATGATGATTATAAGTTTTATAATATACAGGGCCGGATTTTTGGAATGTGGGGGCCCTGGGCCCACCTTTAGAAGTAGATATTTTTTTCGATTAAGTACATAATATATTTAATAACCAGAATTTTGGTTATGAAAAAACAATGATTTATCGCCTGGTCGGACAGTCAGTTATATTCGACGGACACTTAATTTTTTTACAAATTTTTCAAACACAAATAAAATTTGAAAACAAATTTAAAAAATATATTCCAACAGTTATTAGATAAACTTCTCGTGTTTAATTTGGTATAAAAACTATGTTTCTACGACTTACAAGGCCTGAGTACTATTGGAACTACGAAAACATGTTTTTACGATCTATTTTTTCTACCTACAGTGACGGCTCTTAACTACTATCGTACGTGCAGGAACAAGTTGTTATTAAACTATTATATTATAGGTTATTAAATTATAACTAGGTTTTTATCGAGGTGATTTTGAAAATCTATTTTTCCAGCTGTGCTATCAATAAATATAAAAAACGATATTTTTTATTTATATTTTTAATCGTGACACTAACAATTTTCGGAATATTAAAAATCACCACGATAAAAACCTAGTAGGTTATCTCGTTAATCAATCTTAATCCGTTTTCAAAATTGAAATCTGTCAAACTAAATTACTACAGTTTTGTCTAGATTTTTGGTCTAAATGCCATTTTTTTACACAGACAGCAGCCCCCTTGATTGAAAGTCGTCGAAACTCGAATTACTAAATTTAATTTAATAAAAAATACATTGTACTAACCTGGATAAATATCACGATCAAAATATACTTTATGGTTGAAGCGTAAAAACAGAGTGTACCATCTATTTGTTTTTATTTAAAACTTATTCAGCACGCATTTATATATAACAGTCCACAG